ACAATGTCTCAGCCCCATCATCCGCAGGGGAACCCATGTTAGTGCACCATGAATTTCTTAACCAGATGCATGCATAATACTGAATTATTAAATAAGGACTGGCAGTCTGTGCAAAGTCTTTCTATGTAGGGTGACCCAATCCCCAAAAAAAATAAAAAAATAAAACGGGACGATGTGGAACTTTTTAGCTGGACAAAAATTGAATTTCCCAGTTTAACATAATAATTTTCTTTGTGGCAGTTTCCATCACATTTCCGAAAATCATCTTTCCCTGATGGGCAGAGCCACATGACTCTAAGTGGGACTAACTTCCACTTGAATATAAGGCCTTCCCTGTTGTCTTCAGACAGTTTGATTACAAGCCAGACTTTATAGACATGCACATCCTGCAGAGCCAATCAAAATGTGGGACACACTCTTAATACGTGGGACGAGGGGGACAAGGGATAAAAATGCTTTGCAAACCATTATGAAGAGGGTCATCTGGACACCCTGTTTTCTACATGAGCTCCTATAATGTCCATTCTCAAAGCAGCAGCCCTGGTGACTGAATATGAACACTGTGAGTACTTTAAACTTAATATATTTGTGCGTTAAAGTGACCGATCAATAGTCAGTAGTAATTTTTGGACTAATTTTTCCTCTGTTGGACTCACCAGTGAAGGTTTGTACATTTTAAATAGTGAGCTAAGAATGAAGGGGCAGTGCTGGCAAATACGGGATCGTTTGAAGGAACGCTCAGCAGCACCTATACTCGCCATACAAGTGTCTCTCCTAACCAGTATAGTACTTGGTAGGCACAAAGGGCATCTTGCTGACGGTGGCCGGCACTGCCTTTTTCCTGACCTCGACCTGGATGGCTGTTCCATTTTTGGCGAATGCCGCATCCACGTAACCCATGGCAATGTTCTTTTTCAGGCAGGGAGAGGGGCAGCCGCTGGTCACCTCACCTGTACAAAACACAAAGGAATTTGTCTTTCCAAGGATATCCTGTTGTACAGTTTTTTTCAGTCATTTATTTCTATATGACAGGCACTGTCATGTCTGCAATCATGCAGCGTGTGAAGAAACACTTAACAATCATCCCACTGACATTTGATATGATACCACAGAAATACAAACATTGCGATCGTATCTATTTTAAAGCCCTAACATGTAAGATTTGAAAATGTCTGAGTCTGGAGACCCCAATTGGCAACATCATAACAGATACTGTGGCAAACAACAATACTCTCATATTGTTTTTATTATTTTTACTCATGTATGTTTTTATATCTGTTTGCACTTTGGCACATTCTGACCTATGACCTTTCCATCAGGGCTGAGAATAGGGGTGTGCTGCCGGACTGGGGGGCCGGTGGACACCAGACCCACTCTCTTCCTGGCTGTCTTGGCTTTGATCTGAGGTATGATGATGTCAGCACCGGGAAAATCTTTGGCCTGGCGTCTGCGCTTTCCTGTGTGTGAGACACCAGCAGAGTTCATTGACAGACTGAATGAAAAGGCAGGCGTGCACAACAACATCTGGGATCCTCTAATTAAAAAAAAAAAAAAAAAAATCTTATGTGCAATTCCAAATGATCAGATGGTGGTATCTAATTGATATGCAATTGTGACACTATTAGGAAAAGATCCTAACACATGTGCTGCTTCTCGCCTTCGGAGACCAATCAGAAGAACGTTTACCTTTGAGTGACGCCTTAGTCGACAGCTGCTTATTAAGTGGCAAATAAAAACAAAATAATTTAAATGTTTTTAAATCACAAGTTTCATGACAGCCTCCCACAAAAGCAGCCGTTAGAAAAAAAGAATAAACGACCCAAAAAATTAAACCCCAACCTATGGTCCAGACAAGCGTGGCCTCCACAGGTGTAGTGGTCTCATCGATGTCATTGCCATAAAGACAAAGCCCCGCCTCCAGTCGTAGGCTGTCCCTAGCTCCCAGCCCGGCCAGCTTCACCTCACTGTTGGTCAGTAGCGTCTCCGTCAGCTCCACCACTCTGGACTCAGGGACGGAGATCTGACACACAGAGACACAGGCAAACTGTAGAGCCACGTCTCTATCCAAGTACCTTTAATGTCAATAAAGCAATAAAGTTCAGAGAATTACAAATTTCACCTCAAAATTACATCTACGCATGTCATGATACATAGTGCAATTTATACCAGTTTTGGAGAAGTTTATTACAGATCTGTCAGCCACAGACCCTGGTGTGTGTGTAGGTTGACGTAGGAACTATTTTATATCTGCCAATCAAAAGACGTGCAGCTAGCTAAAAGTAAGCTAGTTTGTGTAATGAAAGCTTCACAGGATGTAAACCTTCAATTACACAGAGTGATACAGCTGGCTCCTGTAATTCAGCCAACAGAAAACATTTTCTAGATTAAGTGCTCACAATAAGGTTTCTGGATGTTTTGAGTAAGAATTTCTGGAACAAGACATTGAGGAGTCTATTTGTCTTGGAAAACGATAGAGCGCCATCTAGTTCTGCTATATCTACAAGAAACCAGGCAGATCTACAGCTGATGGCACCAAAAATTAAACTGAATCTTGTTGTTAACAATCAAAGCAGCAGTCTGCAGAGAGGACGTTTCCTCAAACATGATTTGCATCAAATGAATGCCCGAATAAGTGCAAGTGTATCAAGCCTATTTCAGGATGTTGATTACATATTAAGAAGAAGCTGTTGTCAGCTGCTCCCTTATTCACAAGGGGGTCACCACAGCAGGTACCTCTATGTTTTATTTGTCAGATTTTTTTTTTCCCCCCCCATTGACCAATCAAATGAAAGGAAGAAAAATAGGGTCAAAATTCGTACTTGTAACTTGAAACTTGAGTCTAGAGTTTCACATACATTTTTTGGCTAAGTCCACACACAAATCTTTTTTACGCACACAAATTCTTTTTACACATACAAATCCTGATTTACAAGTACAAAATATTTGTGACCACAATTTGAGCTTCACTACACGGTCACTCAACATTAATTAGATTAATATTTTAACATTTTTAAGAGAAACAGGTAATTAGCTTGATAACTCAAACTGTTACAATAAGTATAGTAAACAGATATGAGCCTGAGCACAGAGTGAAATGAAGACAAAGAAAATCAAGCTGCCACCATCGCTGTGTAAGACAGATGAAGAGATCCAACCACATCCATCCTGCTTTCTACAGGAGTTCAGAGTGTTCAGACAGTGCAAAAAAACATCACTTCTTTTAGTAGATCATTCATATGAAACAGGTTCTTCCTTTTTGAGCGGGTGCATATCAGCAAGTAACTAATCTTTTTTTAAAAAGACAACTTGTGAATGAACAATGGCAGGATACAGAGTAGTTAGTCCACAGCCTTTTGATGTTGGCCTAACATTTTGTTTTGCATTTGTGGTTTCGATAGGTCACATATGCCTCTTTTAGAGCTGCACTCTTTTCCATAAATGGCACTGTATCTGAGAGTGTGGGCTTTTGCACAAGTCCCAGTGGTTAGCTCACTAAAGACCAGGCCTAATAAGAGTTACACACTGAGGTTAGAAAGAAATAACACACTGTCCAGGCAATAACGGACATTTGAGGTCTTGCACAGGCTTTTGGTTGGCAGAGGGAGTGATGGGGGACAGGGCCTGCAGAAAATTGTGGGACCCCACAGAACTGCTTGCCAATACAGCCTTTTTTTTCCTCTTTTTCTTTTTTTAAAAAACTGTCTATTAAACACAAGTTATAATACAAAACTAGCTGTCCCGAAGCATGAAAGAACCTGCAAACACACACATATGTGCTCACCTCCACCCCGTCCTCTCCAGTGTATCCACATCGAGTTAGTCTGCAGTTAGGGACACCGAACACCGTGGCCAGGGCAGAGGTCATGAAAGTTAGCTTACTGAGATCCTCCTTCAATCCCACCTGGAGCACCTGAGACATAGTGGGACCTGGAGACATGCAAATAAATTCTTATCTGCAAGATCTGAGACACCTAAACTGCAGGAGTTCAAAAAGAAAAGGAAAAAATCAGAAGCAATAGCCAAAATTCATGGATGGACAGAGAAAGAGCGAATGAAGGAAAGCAAAACCAGAGGAAAGTAAAATAAGATGAAAAGGAAGCAGGAAGAGAAGTATAAAGGAAAGGAAGTGATGAAGACTATAGTAAGAGAAAAAGAAAAAGAAGGCGGACTGTCGCACAAATATTCTACCTTGCACAGCAATCAGTGCGCAATCGAGAAACTCCAGATCCACATCAAAACCTGCATATTTGAACTCTGCCAGTCTGGCCTGAAAACAAAACACACCCACACACATCAGATGCTTTTTAACTCTCGGCCTCTTTGCTACATACTTTTCTTGAATTCACCTTCATATGAACAGAGTCCTTGTCAGCACAGCCGGCATTGGAGACAACGTAGAGGTAGCCCTGGTCCGTCTTGGTCACAATGAGGTCATCAATAATCCCACCTTTCTCATTAGTGAAGAGGGTCAACGTGCCCTTAAAGATGAGGCAAGAAAGGAAATGAAGGAAACAGAAAAAAGGACACTGTGGACATCGTGTTTATGTTAAGTTTCTCGTCTTTAAGTCTGTCTTGCACTCACTGGATTAGCCAATACTCAGAATAACTGAAAACCCAACTCAGTGAAGATGCCTTAAGAGAAACTTCAGATTTAGACAAGCTGGGAAGGTCTCTTGGGGCCATTTCTAAACAACTGCAGATTCCAAGATCATCAGTTCAAACAACTGAAGGAAAGACAAACAATCCAGGAACCACAAGAACTCAAATATAACTGTATACTGCTGGAACGCCATCATCACTGTCCACAGTGAGGTTTTACGTCGCTGTGAACTAAAAGGGTACCAATTAAGAAAGAAGCACACGCTCCAAAACCAGCATCTTCAAGCTTGAATGGAATTTGCAGCTGTTCACGTGGACAAGAAAAAGTCAGATGGTCAGATGAGAAAAGCTTTTTTGACCACAATGACAGGAGGTACGTTTGGAGGAGTAAAGGTGAGGCTTTACTACCAGTGACACTAGTACATTACACAAAATAGTTTGAATAATGAGGACTATGTCCAAATTCTTCAACTTCACCTCAAGTCAACAGCTAAATGGTTGAAACTTGGACACAGTTGGGTGCTCACGCAGATCTTGGAACTAGGGGTGGGTTTTAATTACAGACTTATCGATTAAAATTGATTCTAGCTTGGATAACGTGATATCGATTCATTAAAATCCTGAATCGATTTTTAAATATAAATGTATTTTGCCCAAAACTCCAAAATCTCAGTTTAAACCTCACAAAATTTCAACAACCACCAAACAGCTTAAACAGTAAATGAGAGCAGGTACACAGATTCTGAACAAAAAGCAGGCAGCCGCCGAAACATCAGAATCAGTGAGATGTCGCCTTTCTCACCCGACGGCACGGGCGGGGCTGAAAGCCGACAGCTCACGGGCTCCGATGTGTCAGCGGGTCCGCGCTTTGCGTTTAAGTCCTTTTTGCGCTACATTCTGAAGTTGCAGGTTTTTATCCCTTTCTCCAAACAATATTGACTGAACCAGCAGCAAAAGAAGATCCAAACTACGCTTCACATAAACATCGTCATGAATTCCCTCTGACTTTGGCTTTTTTGCTTTCACCGAGATAAAAATCACACTTCATGCACAGCTCTCTCTCTCTTTCTGTCTCTCTGTGAACTTCAAGAACAGTTCCCCCATCTAAAAATCTGTTTTCTGCATTACCGCAAAAGAAGCGCGTGGTTCAAAACAGTGCCTTTTATATTATATAAAAAGCACTGTTTTTGTCCACTAGAGTGAGACTTCCACGGCATATTCTGCACCACATCTCAGTGCGTTCATCATTTGTTTGAAGCCAACTCACCTCCTGCAACCACTTTTCCGAGAACACGCGCTTCTTTTGCAGTTCGGACTCCTGCTGACATTTCTTTGGAGGTGGAGGAACACCAAAGTAATTGCTTAAAGGAGCTTGCTTCTTCGACATTTTTAAGAGCTCTAAACAAATGTCTGTCCTCCTCCAGAAAATCTTATGTACGCAAGCGCGCGTTGCAACTTCTTATCTGGTGCGTGTCTTTTATTTTGAAAGCGCATGCGCACCTGCGGACCGCTTATGTGCAGCCCTGTGTGTATACATACATGTATGTATATGTTTGAATATGTTTTTTAAGTTGATTAAAGATATATCCTTTATAATCATTCACACAACAAGAGTGAACTGATGCCCTCATGCTGCAGTGGATACAGTCTCATTGTTTGTCTCTAAATACAACCGGCAGCTGCTTTAGAGGAAATCCTCTCAGTATAAACTGTGTACACTGCCTGCTCAGCACCAGACGATTATATTTTTGGAAGGAAAAAAAAATTGATTAAAGTCAACATGTCTGATCTGCTACTTTTGTGTTCACAGCTTCCCCTCACTTGCCTCAAAGTGAACAAAAAGTCAGTAAAAGCAGTTTTAAAACGAAACAATCGTTAACGTACCTGGTTGTCCTTGAGTTCTGCGATGTCTGCCACCACCAGTGACTCCATAAACTTCACCCTGTCTTTGCCGTGGACGTTGGTCTGACAGAGAAAAACAAAAAGTCTGCAATTAAATCTTTAACAGCAGCAGTTTCCTGGAGAGTTGGGTGGTGGATAAAAACAACAGCCAGACACTATTACACATTTTTACTCTGCCATGATGTGACTAACACATACATTTCTTCACTTGACACACACATTGCTTGACACAGGGGTCACACTCTGCTCCCAATATTTACAGCAGAATATCTCAGAAAGTCTCAAATCCAAGTTGCGATGCTCTACTTGAAATCTGCACCCATGTTTAAGAACACATGCCTCACCTGCAACATGTGACTGACATCAAAGATGGAGCAGTGCTCTCTGGTGTGCATGTGAGAGGCAATGTGACTGTCTTTATACTGAACGGGCATACTCCAGCCTGCAAACTCCACCATCTTTCCCTCCTGCCCCCTGTGGAAGTCAAATAGTGGAGTCTTCTTCAAGGCAGTCTGGGGAAAAGAAAACATCAGGCTTGTAGTGAAAGTCCACAGATGAAATACTGTGACTGCTGAGTTCTTGCATGCTATTAAATCTATTAAAGTGTTTCTAAAAGGTTTAGTAGTTTAGCAGGAACATAATAACAACACATCTTTGATTAATAGACAGCTCAGCTGATAGGCCTCTCTCTCGTGCTCTCTTCAGTCTGACCTTTGAACCAGCTGAAGGTGGGCTTATCAGCCACAGCAACGCATTGTGGGACAGAGTGTGTCTGCACACTTTCCAAACTGTCCACAGTCAGCCGTTACTGCGAACAAACCGAAGGCATGTGGCTGCTCTGGTTGCAGACCCATATACTCCTAAGTCTTTGTGGATTTATACTGCTTTGTACTTGAAAGTGAAAGAACAAGACTGATCCTATATTGATCAACTGTTTTGACCCAAACCCTCTTTGCATACAAACCTACAAAAGCATAGGGATGTCATGAAGGAGTAAAAAGATGGATGAAAGGGTAAGTTGGCCCTGCGTTAAACCTTGCTGACAGTACTGCAGAGTCAGTCACTCGTGGTTTTAATAAAGCCATTTTGTGCAGCTCAGTGAAGTGAAGCAGGCAGGGGGGGAGGGCCACTCTGCAGGGACAGATATACATTATGTGTGCATGGGCGAGCCGTTGCTGTCACAAACTCACATGTTAATATTGTATTAATTCAACTCAGTTTTATTAATACGGCGCCTTAACCCTTATCACAACAGTCACCTCAAGGAGCTTTATATTGTAAGGTAAACCCCTACAGCAATAAAGAGAAACCTCAACAATCAGACAATCATACCAACCCCCCAATGAGCAAGCACTTGGCGGCAGTGGAAAGTTAAAAGTCCCTTTTAACAGAAAGAACCAGGCAGGCCTCTGAGGTGACCTGTTGGGGGTGAGGGGAGGTAGACAGGACTAAAGACACACACAGTAGGCAATAACAATAATAGAGCAAGATTTCTTCAGCGAGTCAATCAAAAATATCATTTAAATCTCATTAAAGTACGTGAGTTACAGGCCTGAAATTGTCCTTTAAAGTCTTATAAAGTAGGATAAACATACCACAGGACCAAAGTTAGAGTTAAAAAAAATTAATAAGTAATATTGAACACGTGACAAATGAAATAAGTGAAAATTCAGCAAATAGATAAATAACTCATAACAACAAAAGGTGCGTGTGAAGTCTGATGCCAAAAGCCTTTGGCACACTTGCAAGGACTGAAGTTCACGGCTCTGCTTACCTCTGTGCTGGCAGCCCGGCTCTGTTGCTGCCTCCTCCCCGCACATCCAGCTCCAACGAACCGCAGCAAACCGTCCCCTGCAGCCCGCAAACCGAGCCCCGAAGCCCCGGCTCCAACCGTCAACCGAGCCCACATCATGACACCTGAGTCCCCGCTAAATTCAGCACGCACTCTCGCTGCTCCTGACGGGGTAACTTCCGCTGTGCTTCTAAACTCTTCAGTGCAGTGTGCGTGCGCTCACCTAGCAAAACCACACGAAGCGCAACGATTAGGTGCAAGGACTTGTGGGTTATGTAGTTATTGGACCGCTGGCGCGCAGACGTTTGCTGGTTGGTTCAGCGAATCACGCTCAATCTTATAAAAGAAAACACAATGTGGGTGTTACCTGAGATATTACTGGCTTCCCACTTCATTCATAAAATAAAATAAAAATAAAAAAAAAACATTTGTTTACATCAGCTTCATGAAATTCTGTTGTTTTACACATACAAATCCTTAAAGTGCTCTTTCTTTGGGAGACTAAATTCAGAATAAAAATTATTATATGTATATCAGCTCAGTTTAATAAATGTGGAAATGTTTAGCTCTGGAGTGTTTCTGCTCTCGCATAAAGTAAAACCTGATTTTCAGAGCCTCGTGCAGTGTCAATATTTTTATTCAATACCAAAAATCTTTTAGCATAACTAGCGAAGAAAAGCCTGAAAAATTTGCAGATTGTGGCAATTCGAATACGACTTTAATGCTACATTTATGACTAGTTGTGCTAGGTGTGTTTTAATCTCAGCTGCTTCTTCTTTGAGCTGATGCCACAGCAGATCATCTTCCTCCATCTCACCTTATCCTTAACATTCTTCTCTTCCACACCCTCTGCTTGCCCTCCCTCACTACATCCAACAATCCTCTGAGGTCTTCCTGTTTTCCTCCTGCCTATCAGCTCCATATATCCACTACCCCTCTGCCAAACCATCTCAGCCATGCCTCTGAATCTGTCTCCAAACTCCTCACCCTCTCCCTTTGATGTACTCACTTAAAGTCCATCCTGGTCACTCCCAATGAAAATCGTAACATCTTCAGATTCTCTCTTTTTGTCAATGCCATCACCTCCAAACCATACAGGTTGAAGCAGGTCTTACTTCACCTACTCCTACCAGCCTGGCACTCAACTCGCCCACTTTCAATGCCTCTTCTCCTCATAGCTTCGCTGTTTCACTCTCCCCAATCTGTCTAATTCACACAAATGTGTTCTTTCTTGCTTTTACTGACTTTCATTCCTCTTCTCTCTGGAGCAAACCTCCACCAGCTGCTAATTCCTCCAATAAAACCAAGGATGGATCACTGAACAGACCTACCAGGATGGAGCCTAGAGGCCCAAGAGGGTGAGGGCTTTTGAAGCAGTACACCTACCAATGTTACTAAAAGAGATGCAGTCATTTGAAAAGTTGTGCATCCTTTTAGAATTTGTCTGTATCTAAAAAGCATTGAATCTGAAGACTATGCAGATTTTTTGCTCTCGTTCAATGATCAAGAATGAAAGAAACAGAGAGGATATTAAATGGGCCCCATCGAGCCATTGCTTTCATTGTTTTCAAAGCACATTTTGATGATTTTTCATAATGAGCCTAACATCCTTTATCAGCATTCAGTTTAGCATGACACACAGTTACTCCACCCTCTATGTACACACTACAGCATCCATTCTTGATTCTCACACATGAGAGGATATTTTGGCCAGGTGAAGCTGCCAGACTGTGATATTTGTCCTTGTGAGTATTTATGAGTGTGTTTATCCCTCTGTACCCCCATCATGCCCTCCACCCAGATCTTTGAGTCATCCTTTTGGCTGAGCAGCTAATAATAACCCCGTGTTCCTTCTGCTATTTTAGGCCTTTAAGGCCTGGAAAGCTGGGGCGTGTGCACAAGCATGCTTGGAGCAGGGGTGAAAAAAACTAGGGTGGGCTAAATCAGACACACAAACATAGTTAGTAGTAGGAGGGGTGGCTCTGGGGCATCCTGCAGTTGCTCGGTGACACTCAGGAGCAGAAGGACTCTTGGGAAAAATCTACGCTTTCCCTTTGGCTTTAAAATATTAAGATTTTACTGCTGGGATTGAACGGGAGTTTATTTGGATTTATTTTGTCACAGCGTGGCTCCTGAAAGACCCATTGGGAGATTGAATTGATTTAACTGCTGCGCCACTGGGTGCAGCCATATGTTTTGGCCATCGGGTGTCTGGATGTGTGAGAACTGGGGGAGCAAGAAGAGTGACTGACGAGAAGAGACAAAAGCATTTGTTTATGGTGACACAAGGTAGGTGAGAAGAAAATGTTACTTTTTTGTACTTATCCAGTAAAAGAAATCTGCTCAGGTCCATGAGTTTACATTATTTAGGTGGGTTCATAAAATCCTGTATCCCACTTAGAATTATGTTAGTCTCCAGATAGAAACATCCTTTGGCCCTTGTCTGAAATTCAAGCAGCACTGTGCCTTTAGAGGTTAGGCAGCCAGCTTTAATAATAGCTCTGATTAATCAGCTGCCCATTTGACCTGTGTGTTTTCTCTTCAAATAGGCAACCCTCATACCCCGAGCCATCACCTGCTGCTTTATTCCACCAGCAGAATATATCACAAACTTCTTCCCTCCAAAAAAGACCTAATCTGTGTTTACTTATTTAGTATCTGTGTCCTCATTTCATTTAACCAGGCTCCAAAAAGACTGGGAATTTCAGTGGCATGAGAGAAACCAGGAGAACCAGTCATGTGATAGTCCGGGAAGTCACAAAGCAATGTAGGATATAGCATCTAAGCCACTGAAGGCTTCTCTAACAACCTCTGTGGAGCAAATGTTGTGTTTGAGTAAAGGTTGACACATTATTCTCCTATCTACAGCATGAAACAGGGTGGTGTTGTTTAACCTCAGGGATGTCAGTGTGTTCATTTAGTAGGTATAAACCATTATGAATCCATTTCAAATCCTTTCACTGAAAGTGACAACAGATTCACCAGAGAAGCAAAAACAAGACAACCCCCAAAAAGGAATCGTTTTGCAGATGTTATAGACTCTTTCTCTGTCCTTATCCCTTTTTTTTAAGTTTTGCTTTTTTTTCCTAGTGTTCTTGTGACTACATGTGTAATCTAGCTCCTCCGGGATGGCACCTTCATAAATGCCATCACAAAAAGGGTTGCAGGTCAGCACAGTCTCCAGAGTGTGGAGGAGATGCCAGGTAACATGCAGTTACTTAAGAAGAGCTGGAAATGGCTGTAGAAGCGCTTCAACCCAGCAGGAGGAACAGGAGAAGCACACAAAATCATTGATTGGGTTACTCATGTACATGTTTCTGAGCAAACTGTCAGACGTGGTTGAAGCTTCCTAACTGGACAGAGTGATATCCCTGGAGTTTAACTAACTCTGGGTTATGAATTTTGGGGGTTTGAGCAGTCAAAGTCCTGACCTGACCTTAACCCAGTAGAAATGTTCCTGAAGTGAGCATCCGAGGAATCCCACCAACATCCTAAAGCTTTTCTGTATGGGATAAAATTCCTCCAAGATGGTGTGTAGGATTAAAGCAAACTACAGATACTGAAAGCAAGGGCTTAACAATCTTCACTGAAAGTTGTGTAATACTGGCACATTTTCACTGATAAATAACCCAGTCTGAATCTAATGCTTCACTTACTTAATCTGGGCCTATTTTACTACTTTAAGGACTTGAAAAATCGTACAATGTTTTTGGTCATATTTTATGAAAATCTTTTTTCATGCAGCTGTGGTCCGCTTTCCAAAGGCAGTGACTGAGATCAGTTTAGTTCAAATTTACCTACATACCACCAACGCGCAGCAGCATTCACTTCAAGAAGGAAAAAAATATTAGAAAGGAAACCTCAAACATCAGATAATCCCCTGTGAGCATGCAGGTGACAGTAGAAAAACGAAGATCTACGTTTTAACAGGAAGAGATTTCAGTAAAGCCACCTTAGGGAGAGCACAGAGAGATGAGAACCAAACACAAACTATGGGAGAGAACAGACGAAGGTTGATGACTGAGTTAAGGTCTGAGCTTGTTCCATAGGAACAGAGCTCTGGTAGAGAAACATAATCTTTACAGACCCAAGCTTCAAATGTATTATTATTATGGAACTTTAAAATTCCACAGCCTCTCTTTGCATTTCAGAGCTATTCCAAGATTGCGGCACCTCTCATTTAAATGATCAACAAAGGAGTTGCTCATTAGTTGAGCCTTTTGGAGCAAACAGTGAGCATATTTTCCTCCTGATTTTTCTCTCAAGACAAGGAGACATGTCGAGGCCCTCTTCCACCCAGACCACTCCTCAGTTCTACAGGGTCAGCGACAGAGATCTCACCGAGATCGAGCTGCATTCTGTCGATTCCATCAACGACCTCCACCGAACACACCCCGAGCACAGCCACAAAGGTAAAATCACCCCAAACACACCATCCACAGTGCGATGACGCATAAAAACACTGACTCTGACAAAATGCGATTTCAGGAATGAGGGCTCCTCGTCCGGCGTACACACCTTCGCCAAATGGGAACATTTACACCTGCGACACGACAGCTGCCAATCAAAGAGGCCACCCAGGCAGCAAATCCTGGCAGAGCCGACTGCAGGACATGCTGACGCCAAGTTCATCCCGGGCCTATGCCATGGGCTGCGCTATCATCACTTTGCTTCTGCTCACAGTGTTACTCATTTTTTACTTCTTAGGTGAGATAAAAAAATAAATAGAAAAAAATAAAAGAAATGTGCAAACAAAAGCAAACATTTATTGTTGGCTGCCCCTCTTCCAGTCCAGCAGGGCGGCGCAATACGGATGCTGACGGAGGCGGTGAGAGAAAAAGAGGCTACAGCCACAGAGCTGTCACTGCTGATCCAAGAGCTGCAAGCACTCAGGCACAACCTGACAGCCAAGAGAGCGACAGGAGGGACGTGAGGAAGATATGCACAGAAAACAAAACACCGACAGCGTTTTCAGATTATTACCGTAGAAATATGAGTTTGGAGTTTTCTGAAAAACAACTTCTAGGCTTACTAGGATTATTTGAGAAGGACTTTTAAATAAAGCTTTTGTTTAATGGTGGCAGTGTGGCAGAAGGGAAGTGGTTGATCTCACATTGCTTGAAATAATGTCAGACCATTATGTCATTGCCACTGTGTCTAAAAACGTACAAGCTGTTTTTATACTGTGCTGTCAGTCGTTTTGGGTGACTCACTGTGGGCATCACAGGAAACACAAAGTACAAACGCTGTGGACGGCCAGAAAATTAAACGGGCTTCTGATTTCATCAACTTTGTCAAGTATGTATTTGATAGAGTGACTGGGTAAATGTATAGTTACGTGTTTTCACCAAGTCGTTTATTTACAGTGTTCTGTCGTTCATGGTGATGTTTGATGGGATTTTTCAGTCAGAGTTTATGTACACATGTCAAGTTTAAAATGTGTCTTTTCTTCCATGGTAACAAGACACTATTTTACTATTGGTTGAGAAAAAAAATCTTGCAACTGTAAAACATTAGACTTTAGTCTTCCTATGCAAAGTCCATTAGAGTCAAATTTAAGTACAGGTCCCTTTAATGTAGCCAAACACAGTTTCTTTTCTTCCTTTCATTTATGACACACGACCACAGAAACAGCCAAAAAGTCTAAACAACTGAAAGACCACAGGAGACTATTAAAGTGCATGATGGCAGAATTATCTCCATGGGTACCAACTTCACAACCTCTGCGGAGGTAGGTGTATCATTGTTAAAGTTTACAATCAAGAGATGACTCCATAAATAGGAATGCAAAGAATTTACAGCAAGGTGTTCACAACTGGTTACACTGGAAAACAGAAAGGGCAGAGAAGATTTAAAAATTTAAAAAAACAACCTTTGGACTAATGAAATTAAAATGAACTTGGACCACACTGCTCAAAACTGTAACTTCCATTAGTAGTATTATTATCCCCATGAACTCATAAATGGACAGCACCGTAACAAAAAAGCTCAGGTCAATCTTCCTCCTCTCTGCTCTCGCTCTTCTTGTCTTGGCACCCCTGCCCTGTCCAGCCTTGGTAGCAATGACACATGAAGTGTTTCTGGAAATGTTTGGAAGAGTCACTGAGCCGGTGGCCAGAGCTCAGGTGTCTCCTGGTGCAGCGTCCATTGCCGTGGCAAACCTGGAGGCTGCAGCGCTCTGCGTCAGACCTCAGAGATCGAACGAAGGGACCCAAGACATTGTGGACGTAGTCTCTGAGGAGAACGCACTGTTTCTGGATGGTTTGGGAAGATCAATATGGTTACACATAGGCGCACACACACACACACTGATAATGTTTTCTCACATGCACACCTTGTTTTTGGCGAATTTCAGTTCTCCCCACAGCACAACTCCAGCTGCCCCCAGTGATGCACTCTCTCCAAGTGTGTGCTCCAGGTCCATCTGCACACACACACACACACACACACACACACACACACACACACACACACACACAGTTTGTCATGCCACATATTTAAAGTCTTAATGTTATGTGATGTATGCTAAAAAAGTCCTACCTTACTGAGAAACTTGAGTGAGTGTGTGAATGCTAGCCTGGCGTAGGGGAGGACGGGTGTGGCGTGGTCGGTGTTGTTGTGATATGGCCAACCTGACGCCACCCTCAAAGCCTCCAGCAGTCTGTGTCTGGTTAAAGAAGACAGAGCAACCCATGAGTAAGCGAAACCACCTGTCTGGCCATCATGGCTAACAAAAGCTAAATGACAGGACTGCTCATATCCTTGTCATGATTGGATATGTGAGTGCCTGAGGCAGCAGAGTGTAAGTGAATGCATTTCTGGGTTTGCTGATTTTCTTGTACCTGACCATTAGAGCTGCATCTGCAGACCCTGCCAGTTTCTGTGGCAGGTAGATGCTGGGGTAGAGAGCGGAGGACTTAGTCCAAAGCCAGGACAGCTCATCATTCTGCTGCCTGGTCCCCCTGAGGCAGCGTCCTGTGTAAGTTTTATCTGATCACACAGAAATACAAATAAAAGAGAGATCAGCCTGTATCATCGGTACAAAAGGAGTTGTCATTATTGTTCAGATTGCTTGAAAACCAACACGTTCAACGTTAGTGTTAGACCAACCTGTCTTTCTCTTGTTCTTGTTAAAGCAGGTGGGAAAACCATAAAACCCCCAGAAGCCTTTGGGGCGTTCTCCGACCGCAGACTGGAGTGTCTCTTCCATGAACTTCCGAGCGCTCTCCTCAAACATCCGCCTCGCCAGCGATGTCACTGCCCGCTCTGAAAGATCTGGTTGCTCCTGTTTCACCAGCAGTTTGGACAACCTCCGGTACTCCACCTTAGATCCAAAGTTCGTCTCCCACAACGGTCTCCATTCCTCCCAGTCGATGACAGCTAGGCCGCTGAAATCTGGTAGCAGGAGGTCGGACAGCTGCGTCACCGTGAGGGAGAGGTGAGAGGCCAGGTCGCCGAGCTGAGGGAGTCCTCCATTCACTTTCTTGCCATTTCGGGAGAGGTATGGATATTTTCCCAAGTGGTCGCGGTAGAAGATGGTCATTTTCTGGAAAATCAAACATTTTCCCTTTTTCACTTGTTTTGGATTTATTGCACATTTAATCCTTGTTACTGTTACAGTGCCCTCACCAGCCCTCTTTCTATGGTTTTAAAGTAGAATATCAGTAAAATAAATGGATGAGGGACGATCACCTGTCCCTGGAAGCGCTCCTTCTTGTTCTCCACAATATGAAAGTCTCCCAGGTCCAGGTGGATGTTGTATCGCTGTGGACAGTTTGCCGTGGGCATGTTCCACACCAGGATGAAAGGCTGGTTCTGCAGGATGGGATGAGCTGCAGCCACAGCTTGCAGCGAGGTGCCGATGAAGGCATCCGCCTGGGGGGAATTCTGTGGCAGCGAGTTGCAACGGAGGGAAGAGATGAAGAAGACGGGGAGGAGGAGGAGAGACAGCTCCATGGCTGCTCACCCACAGATGTGTCCTTCCTGGCAGGAGAAAGAAATCGTCCTGATGAACTTTTCTGCATTTAAATGGTTAACTTTGTATATACAAGTACGGGCTTTTATCTGACAGAAAAACATGATAAGAAATGCAAAAATAAAGACCAGTCAAAGCTATAATGATAAGAAAGTCTCTTTATTCCAATCATTTTTCACCCACTGTAAGAAATCTTTAACATTTCAATGAACCAAATAACAAACAACATGAGAAAATAACAGCAGCAGACAGATTTTTGGAAGACTGATGGGCAACAAGTTACTTAAGTGGTTGAGATTGGTTATATCTGCACTGGTCCAAGCTGTCACTGCAGATATGAAGTATTTATTACTGAGTGCAACAATGACTGTGATTCGCATTATTCTGCGAAAAATTCTACATCAAAGCAGCTCAACAAACGCAGAAAAGCTTATTTTTTAGTTTTTCTCACTTCAAACCTTTCTAAATGTGAGGAAACAGGAGGGGAGCTGGCGCTGCTGGTGTATCCGCTGCAGGGGAAGCAGTCAAAGCCGACGTGGAGCTTCTAGTTCCTGCTGAATGCACAGCCAGCTTACGGCCGAAGAACTCCAGATGAAGCGATTGGAGTTGAGACATGGACAGGTGGAGGCAGACGGTGTGCATCTTCGGGCTAAGAGCTGCAAAGATGAAACTGCAGCCTCGCACCTGTTGCGCATCGAGCCCCGCCCCCTTTCCTTAAACGTTACACTGATGCCGCCATTCAGACAGTCCGGGATAGACTGATATTTCACTGAGGTGAGAGATGTGAGTCACCCTCTCATCCGATCAGAGCTCGGATTAGATTCTGCTTGAGGGATTTTTTCCCTCTCCCCAGCGCTAACCTGGATTCTCCGCGCGCACTCGGTGCCGAACAGTGATAGGCGTGCCCCATCGCTGTAGCTGTGTGGCCCCACTGATGTGTAAGGCTAAACTGTAATTGGACTGATTCTTATATTGCGCTTTTCTACTCAACGGAGCACTAAAAGCGCCTTAACATGACCACCGCGCTGCGCTTTTGCGCATGAAGCGGCGACAGCGCCACCTTTTCTCGACATTTGGGGACCAAAACACATTTTTATGGAAGTCAAGCAGTCTCACAGCAATAGGAAATAGTCATGATCTTTAATTTATTCTTGTTTCAATCAAACCTCAAAACCCGGATTACAAAACACATAAAAAAAACAACAACAAAGAAAATATGTAATATTTATTACGATATAACCATAATCTGCAGCGAGTGTGCGCTCCTGCCTGCAGTTAATTCGCTTAACTGCCAGAAAAAAAACACATAACACACTCTGGGCTGTAAATTCTGCTGTGCCAAGGTCCCGCATTGGAAGCTGGGAGCAGGGGAGTCACGTTTATGCTTTGCTCAGCTGTACTGGTTGTAATAATTACAATTATTTAAGCTCTTTTCAAGTAAACACAGCAAACTGAACCGATGAGTTTAATTCTGCTGCTGCAGATCCCGTCTGTGTATCACACAGGCTACACTGTACAGAGTTAGGCTCAAACATCAGTCACTACAATAAAAAAAGTACATTCTTGAGTGAAACTGAAGCATTAAAGTTTATCCCCAGTTTCTTGCTGGGTCCTTATGTTCACCATCATTTCTCTTTTACTCAGTGCAGCGATGCAGACGTACAGGTACACATGCAGCAGGGTTCACACGCAGCAGCAGTTCACAGGTGTTGGGAAATACTTCTGCAAACTGTGACGTGGAAAAACTAAAAGTGTTGAGTGCGAGTGTTTACTTCTTTGGTTTGCTAGCACAGTTCTTTCTATGTCACACTTCTTCTTCCAATATGTGTGTGTTTTGTGAGTTTGTGCTTATTTCTGTCTTTTGGTGTGTATCTGACAGCGATCAACAAATGTCCTTGTGCATCCAGTAGATGGGAAGTCCTTTGGCATCTCTGTACGGAGTTTCAGTCAGAGTCTGAACTACACACTGCCCTGCACACTGAGGAGGAGGGGGAGGACGAGGGATAGTGGGAGGAGGAGGAGGTGGTGGAGGAGGAGTAGGGATGGATAGAGGAGGAGGAGGAGGTAAACTAAAGGATGGAGGCGACCGTACAGCACAACCACCTCCTGAGTCTCTGTCCCCTTGAGCGTGCATCTTTGTTTGCGTCTGCACGCTCGTTTCCTCACTCGGCATTCGGGAGAACCTCAGAAGCGTCTCCATGGGAATGAATGCCGTCATGGCCCCCGCGTTCTGCACTGGTGTCGACAGCACATAGCCAAGGTGGGCGTAGAAGTGCTGCTTATCGTGGGTGGTCAGACAGAGACGCTTGAACCCTCGACTTCTGGCGTAACGTTCGGTCTTCTCCATCAGAGTGCGGCCGTAGCCCTTGCCTCGCTCCGCCTCGGACACAACTACTGACTCGACAAAAAGGCTGCCGCTGTGACCCACGACCCGAGACAGCCTGGCGTGGCCGAGTAGCCTCTCAGTCTCCCCGCAACCCTGCAGGAGGACCAGGTTGACAGGAAACTCTGAGCAGGATTTTTGGAGAGAGTGAACCCGGGCGGCCTGGCTCCTCTGCCACTCGCAGTTGACGAGGTCTGCGCAGGGAACGAGCAGGTCGGGACGCTGGTGGATGGGAACGGCGTGGACCTTCTCTGGCTGCTCGGAGACTACGTGTAGCTTCTCTTTAACGTCTCCATCCAGTGTCGAGACCTCGTAGAAGTTTTGTCGCCTCGGCTCGTCGGACGTTGACGTTACGGGTTCAGACCTGCGACGATCAGGGTTTCAAGTCAGTCTCCATTTACCTTCTATGGTTAAGTGTGAAAATATCAGGAAGTGTCTCAAGCATGCAGTTCCTCCTTAGCTGAGTGGTTAAAACACTGTGTCTGTTACCCAACAGGCAGTGCGAGCAAGGATTAGAGATGAAGGCATTCATTTGCTTTCAAAACCACACCAGGAACAGCAAATGTATATATAGTAATATAATTCACTAGACACCCTCATCCAAGGAGGCCCTGCCAGGGTTAATCAGGCCCCGGAGTGCGCCAGTGGTTTATGTTCAATTATTATTTCTCTTCTACTTTCTTCTGTTTGTTTTTCTACAGTTTATTTTCTTCTATAAATTCACTGCAACTGAGAAGTAATACTTACCTCTTTAATATTTATGGAGCCTCACTTCTTCAAAGGGATAGAAAAGGTGATAGAAAGAAGTAAGACAAAAGTGACAAGATAGGAGAAAGCAGGGAGGAGAGCCGGAAGGGGGGCGCATAATATAACGGTGGATCCTACAGGTGGATGTGAGAGCTGCTGAAACAGCAGGCAGGGCAGCAGCAGCTTTTACATGTTGAACGCAGAAACGGGAACTCGAGAAGCCTAAAGAGACTGCCAAAATACATCTCGCACATCACTTACCACGTATGATGTGAGAGATGTGATGTGGGGGTGTGACTGAACCAACTTTTAAGTTCCATTTTATCTACGACATGCTGGAGTATCATATGCTGAGATCTTGTCTCACTCTCCTTTAAATACTACAAAGAGCTCAAACTTCTGATCTGGAGTGTAAGTGTAAGCCTACGTGTGAAGTCCATTTGGTTCAAATCCACACTGTGGATTTAAACTGCCTCACAATTAATATCGCAATTCTCAAATACACATCAAAGTGCAATCATAGCCTCGCTCATGCACTTTTATGTGCGCTTGAGATGTGAGAGCGTTTAACTGATGAATAGATTCTGTTCATGTACGCTGAGGTCCTGATGTTTAATAGCTGTTATCATTCTAAATGGGGAAGCAGTAGTTATCTGTCACAGTTTCACCACAGTGCTTCTTCAGAAAGGCTGAAGTGCAGTTTAGTCAGCACAAACTGACGCTGAAACGAACTAATCCAGCTAATTCAACTCAAAGCCAAGCTGTACTTGCTTCTTATGTAAAAAACCCAAATGCATTCACACTGCAGTATATCTCTATATATATGTTATTTTGAATTATAGTCAAGTCGTCCACATTAGAGTCACAAACCAGTAATTAAAGTGGTCTTAAAGAAGAAGCAAAACTGGGTTCACCCCAAGTCGTGCATGCAAAATGTGAAAAATGACTGAGAGTGAGAAAAACATTGCAGTCATTTTTAATTTAAGTTTTTCTTGGACTAAATAAATAAATAAATAACTCACCAAGAGAGAAATGCTGAAACGAAACAGCTGACTGTCAAACTGATTTGAATGTGTTACTGGCTATGCAATGCTACTTCATATACTCTCCTTCAACAGGAAATGGGAGTTTACTGAATAAGGCACTGACTACCTTCTTTTTGATGTCTGACTCTGCGTTTTAAACTTTAATTATATTCAGTATTGAAGCCACAACACTTACATCGGGTATGATGAAAAAAAGAGGTTGGAAACTTCCTGTCACTGCTCGAGAGTAAAAGAAACCTTTTTCTTTTGCGGATTTTGCATTAAAATGACTGACATTTCCATATTATGTTAAAATCAACAGCAGCGTTTTGTGTGCTCTATGTATGTTTTGTTGTTTCTGTAAAGAGGTCCACTTTTATCTGACTGTGTGTGTGTGTGTGTGTTTGCGAAATTCAAATTCAACTGAAGTCACAGCTTATGCTGTTTTTGGAACGTATGTTTAGAGACTAATGCAATCGTCTTATAAACTTTCACAATATATGCTTTGCAGACATTCCCTACCAAAACAGGAATAGGTCTGTTATTTGATAAGGAAAATGACAACAAAAAAAACTAACATTTATTAGTTAATTTTAAAATACAAAACAAATGAACCAAAACTACTTTATTTAGTAAAACTAGTACAAAAAGACAGCCAAAATCTGGGCTTTTATTGTGAAGGGGGTGGACATGGAAAAGTGACATGGAAAAGTGACGTTTTGAAAGTAACACTTTTATCTATTACCAAGAACCACACTAGAGGTTGGCAGATCGATTCAACTGTCAATAGTATTGCAACCCCCCCCCGGTATTGGGTGATACTAGTGCAATAGGCTCTAGCCTATAGCGCAGTTAAACAACATGTGCTTTGGTTTAGAGACAGGCACATGCATATTTCTTGTCTCCAAAAGGCCTAGTATCAAAATGCAGGAAAATCTGAAAGGTGTCTTTTTTTATTGTGTTAACTCATTATTGAAGAATCACAGTGATTTAGTGGTTATTAAATATGTTCAGAAATGGCAAACCTATGATGATTCATGCCATACACTGCAATCTTGTGCATAAACTGCCTTTATGGGTTGCAAAGTGTCAGTATTGGCAGTACTGGTCCTATATTTACTTGGTGTCAGATTGATACCAAAAACAGCAGTTTTACATACCACTAAACCACACTGAGATACTTCCAACAGAACTTATAGACCAACATTTAGAAACAAACATTAATTTTTCACAGCGAAACAAGCCCCACTAACGCAGGGCATCAAAAAATTAGATTAAACTCTTATTGTTCCACTCCACGGAAATCTTTAGTAAAAGGCGAAAGATTTATACGATCTGAAGAGAAACAAGAGTGTACTGGAGACTAGACGAGCGGCAGGCCGACCCCATTCTCCGACATAGCAGTCTCTATTACGGTTCGCACTTTAACGTTTAATAATGCCACAACTAAACAGACACAAACTAATACTGTTCAAAAATTTCACGCTACCTTTTAGGAAAACACAAACGCTACATGGTAAATTATTAAATATACTATAAACGTTTACACACGCGCAATGCATTACGGGAACACTGCGATCACAGCCACGCCTCGAACTTTAGTTGTGTGTTTCCTACGTTATTTTTCACTAAAACTCCCGCTTCTTCATAAAACACCGATGTGATTATGTGACGTCTGAATGAAGCGAGGATGTCAGATTTTCCAACAAGAACAGTAATTACTAAAAACGTTACTTTCCGTGCTCAGAGGTTTCGCGCATGCGCAATAGACACTCGATGTTGTCGCCCTCTGCACATGCGTAGTATAACCGCGTTTCATGTCTGCGTACAGCAGTGTACATTCATTAAATACAACAATAGAATACTAAAATATAGCAATATCGTTAATATTATTACTCATGTATGCTTTAAAAATAAGGGATTACTCCCTTTTTCTAACCTCTCTCACTTATAAGATGCTTCTTTTTATGTTTTTCCTTGGCCAGATAGCCCAAAAA